AGATGATGTAACTATTGTACCAGTCCTATTTGGTAGGGGGGCTTAGGTGCAAGTCCATTAAAGATATGGTTAAATGTTTCTATATAAAACTTTGGTTGAAATTCAGACAAAATAATTCACTTTGGGCTAACTTTATAAACTTAAAATATTACAAATTCAATCATTCATCCCGCTATTTTCTTAAAATGATCAATCCTAGGTTTGACACATATTATGTAGTATCAAGTGACTGGGTGAATCTTTCTTGCATTGGGGTATTGGGAATGGAAATTCTTTCTTTTGGCAAGACAACTAGATGGGTTCTAGCTCCTTAGATTCTAGTTATTTCCATACGCATTCTACCTCGAATTTAAAAGTTTTTGAATTTGTATGCAATGGTGAAAGTTTGATAAGGATGTTAAACATAAGTGAACTTGTCCCTAAGCACACTAATATGAAAGTAATATTTTAACTTTGATGTAAAAACTGACTAACTCGTATATAATTATAATAATGGTGATTATATTATAATCATCACAAAAAATATTAATAAAAAATTTTCACCACATAGTAATTACATAAATAAAATGCAAAAAAATAAAGTATGGAAAATAAAAATTAGAACAAACACACCAGAATTTATATTGGTTTGATCAAACCATGACCTGCGTCCACTCCCCGAAGTTCTCTTCTCTAGGTATCATACTATCACTATAGTTTATCTCTTTTAACTCCCACAGCTAGGCAGAGAAGTCCTTATAAAATCTCTTCCACCAACCAAGTGTGGTAGAGGATTGTAATCTTTTTCACCCTCTTAGTGAGATAGAGAACTTGGAATACTTTTCATCCTCTTTGTGAGGCAGAGAATTTAGATCCTTTTCACCCTCGTGGTAAAGCAGAGAACCTTGGAATCACTTTTACCTTCCTCGGTGCGACGGAGTAACCAGGTTCTTTGTAGCCAAAGCGATCCTTCCCAAAACTTACCTCAAGACAAACCTTGATGTATGGAGGAACTCAGGAGCAAGTTCATCATAACAACAATGTGGAACTCCCTCTCACTCTCCCTTGAATCTATAAGAAATTTCTCCCTCTCTCAAATTGTACCATTTCTCTCCCAAGCTCTAGGCTCTCTCTTCAAACTTTTAAAAGAAATAACTCAATGAATGAAAAAAATACTCAAACAAAGTCTTATGAGAAAGCATAAATAGAGAGATCAGAAAAACCTAAAAAAGTCAATTATGTCATCTCTGATCGTATAGTACGATCCTTGATTGTATAGTATAATTATTTTGAATATATCCTTATTAGTATTATAGGAAAAGTAAGAAGTTGTATGACTTGTTCAAGTATTTGAGCTAATCATCCAGTACGATATAATCATCATCTAGTATGATTAGTACAATCAAATTGGATTATCATCATGTATGATTTGTGATAATAAATTATCATCCCATACAAGGATCTGATTATGTAGTACGATTTGTCCAATCATACAGTACAATCTTACTGGGCAAATTAATCCAAATTTGATCCCTAATTGCAGGCTTAATTTATGTAAGATTTAATTACATCAAATAGTATGATACCTATAATTCCATACAATTATCACATAATTTGTATTTTAAACTATTACCTAAATAATGATTAGCGACTAAATTTATGATTTCAACTAATTATCCTATACGATCAAGATAGTCTAGTATGATTAGTTCAAATAACATTAAATACATAATTAGTCGATTTAATAATTTTATGAGTAGCTGATTATACAGTATGATACCTATCATATAGTATGATTAGTTCAAAAAATTACTCTTTTTATTTTTCTCTCTATCTCATTCCCATGAGTGTGTGTGCACAATCACCAGGCTAGCATACAACTTTACAGTACTTGACTTAAGAAATTGAAAAAAATACATAAATGAATTTTACAAACTCTTTTAGCATATCTTACTATACCCAATCTTAAGCCCTGAATATTTATTGACTTGTACATGATAAACCTAAAATGGCAGTACACACAATAACAAATAGGTAGTACAAATATTTAGAAACATAAAGATACAATCAATAATATTTGTTATCATCAAAACAATAAACTCAGAAGCCTGAATAGTAATAATCTCCCCCATTTTGATGATGACAATTTTTTTTTGGTTGAATTTGTAAGCTAATATTAGTTTATCCTAATCTCTCCCTCACTAAGAGAATTATATTAAAAATAGGGGAAAATTGATTTTTTATATTAATTTTAAAAATTAAAACTAAATAACAAATGCAACCAAATACCTTCTCCCCCTTTTGACATCATAAAAAAGGAGAGAAAATATAACATCTAAAATTGAATTATATGCAGAAATAAGTTATAACATATAATCATACATAAAAATAATTGACAAACCAAAAATTGGATAAACAAACACAAAAAAAGACAAACAAACACACAAATGGATAAAAAAAATACACAAATAGATAAACAAATACACAAATAGAGAAACAAACTTTATACCTGATTGGAATTACCAATCGAATCCTTGACTTTTCATTATAAGTTTGTTATCTCATTATCTTCTTCCTGTTCTGATGAGTCAGAAGCTAAGTCTGCTTAGGAGATTTTTTGTTTCTTTTTATTTCCGCTTATTACAATTAGCTTATCTTCACTTTTTTCTTTTACATGGTGTTTCTTAAAATTGGGGCATTCATATTTTAGATGCTCAGATTTCCCACACCCAAAGTAGATAATGTTAGAAGCATACTTGTCATAACCAAATATTAATCACAAATTTTAACCATGTAGTAATCACAGAAATAATGTGTCAAAAATTAAAATACATAAAATAAAAGCTAGAACAAACACACCAAAATTTATAGTGGTTCGATCAAATCATGACCTACATCTTCTCTCTGGAGTCCTCCTCCCTAGGTATTACACTATCACTATAGTGTTTCTCCTTAAGCTCCCACAGTTAGGTGGAGAAGTTCTTACAAAATATCTTTCACCAACTTGGTGCAACAGAGGATTGTAATCCTTTTTATCCTTCTGGTGAGGCAAATAACCTATAATTCTTTTTTGCCCTCCTCGTGAGGTAGAGAACTGATTGAAAGTTTTTGTAGGTTATTAGACCTTATAGAACTATCCCAAGGCTAACCAAGAGTGAAATGAATTGGTTGTTTTTAAATTTTTTTGGATTTTTGAAAATCATTTCTAGAAAATTTAAGCAATGATCCTTGAATATACATTTGTTTAGATATTATTCTCACAAAAGATTTTTCAACCATAAAACATTAAAGTGTAAACAAAACAAAAAAATAAAAAAATTAAAGTGAATAAAAGAACACTAAAATTTTATAGTGATTCAGTTCAAACTTGACATACATCCACTCCCTGGAGACTCCTTCTCCAGGTATTGCACTAAATCAAAGTGACTCAACTTTTGCCCCCATAGGAAGGCAGAGAAGCCCTTATAAAAGTCTCTTCGACCAACCTAATACGGTAGAGAATTGGCTCCTTTTACACCCTCCAAGTGATGGCAGCATACCGTCATATCCTTTTTCACCCTCCTAGTGAAGGCAGAGAACCGTCACATTTTTTTTACCCTCCTGGTGAAGGCAGAGAACTATCACATTTTTTTTTCACACTCCTGGTGAAGGAAGAGAATCTTGACATAATATTGAAAATATTCTCTCAAATGTTTCCAGAGGAGTTAAGAAGAAATTTTAAGAAGATAAAGAGATCCTTGCATTGGGTAACCTTGTGAATCCCTTACAACTTCTGCTCACTAGATCTCTCACACTTCACTCTCATAATCTCTCCCAAACACTCACACTCAATGGACACTCTCAAGAAAAATTCACAGCAAAGGTCTTGAGTGTTAGTTTTTAGGACTTCTTATATAGAAAATATAAGAAAAAATCTTCAAAAATTGAAAATTACTAGTGAACTGACTGTTGACCTCGTTTTTTGCTCGAGTACCCTCGAGCACCTCCGATCGATTTAATCGAACATCGTCGAGTCCAATTTGAGCTCGAATTGACGCGACTCGAGCTGGATCAGACTCGGATGTGTTCAATTAGACTCGATTAGTTTGATTTCGTCACGTCGTACTTGATTTGATATAAATTGATTATTGTTTTGAACCCATTTTTGTATGATTAATTTTGTTGCGCCGGCTCGAGCCCGAATTTGTTCGAATCGAGTCAAATTAGGACCCGAGTCCAACTCGATCTTAGCCAAATTTAACCTGATTCAGCCAAATTTAATCCTATTAAATGCCATTTGACTTTCTAAATTATTTGAATTAATTCCCTAAATCTAGTAATCGAATCGACGGCTACGATTGAGTGAAATCTTTGTTTCGGCCGAAATCCCGCATTTCAACGATCTTCTGCGATTCGAGCAAACATTGAGCAGTGAGCGGGGTCGTTTAAGGAAATTTTCGGAAGTAGAAGCCAGAGAAGATGATGCGCGGGCTTCCTCTTTCGGTAAGGGATTTGATTTACGCAGAACAGAGAGCCTCGGCTTAAGGGGGGACTCTCATTCTCTCTTCTCTCACGCATTCTCCCCCTCCCGCTCTCTCTCTCAATCCCGATCTCCCTCTCAGGACATTTGCTCCTCGCGCTCTCTCCCTCTCTCTCTCTCTCTCGATTTCGCATAGCTCACCCGCTCCCCCTCCTCTAGCCTTGCTCTCTCTCATTCGCAGAAGCTCCGACGAGCCAGGTCTGGCAGCCGCACGACCCCCACGCTCCCTCTCCTGTTCGTGACCCCTTCGGCGAGCCCAAGCCCGAAGCCCCTGGCCGACCTCCTCCCCAGTTCGTGGATCCCGAACCCGACGACACCCCGAGCTCCTTGCTCCCTCTCCAGTTCGCGACTGCAACCCCGGCCAGGCCGGTGGCTCTTCCTCTCACCCTCAGCTCCACACGTCTAGGCCGAACCCAAAGGGCTTTCTCCCGACCTCACACGTCTGGACCGAGCTCTGTCGCTGGGATCCCTGTCTTGGCCGACTGATCCCCTCCAAACCTACAGCAGCTCAGGAGGATCCAACGCCTCCCCCATTCCCGTCCGACCTTCAGCCGTCCTGACGCCCGGACCAACTGAACTCGAAGCCATCGACTCGCCTTAGCCGCTCCTTTGCAAGGTGAGTATCTCTCTCTCTCTCTCTCTCTCTCTCTCTCTCTCCTTCTCTTACTTCTTCTTCTCCCTTTCCTTTTCCCTTTGCCTTGATCTTCTTCCTCTACTCTAGCTACCATGTTTTCCTCTCATTTTAATCTAAAATCATGTGGATGATTTTAGTTGGCAGCAAGTTACACCTAGGAGGAGTTTTATTTTGGTTTAGATTGAAGTGTGGATTGAGCTCTTATGGTGTGTATGTCATCACACCTCTAATCCTTTTTTATTCTTAGTGAATGCTTTTGTTCTTTGTGTAATTGATTTCATGGTAACCTGTATAGTTAATTTTGGAACTATGTGTTGATCTTCTATGCTTCTCCCATGTGTTGATTTGAATTTGGTTGACAATGGGAAGTCATGTCATTTTGATTCATACTACATGATTTAGGGCTTTAGGTGTGAACTAGAAAATGTATAAGGTACCATTTTAGTCTTCTAGCAAGACATGCATATAAGGTGTTTGGTGGAATTCCCTTTAAAGAATTCTTGTATGATTTTGTGAGTAACTCATGAAGCTTGAGATGTTATTTTGATCTTCTATCAAGGTGTGTATATGAAGCGTTTGTTCTAATGCTTAGCATAGTATAATAAGCTCTTATGGAATGAATCTATAATACAAGTCTCATTTTGATATTATTCCCTAAAAGTGAAGCTATGAGAATCCCTAGTTTCCTTTCGTTGTCGTTGAATGTTTTCTTTTATGAGGCTAAGTTTCATTTTTGACACTCAATGTTATTCACATATTTGAAACAACGGCCTTTACACTTTTAAGATTGATATCATGTTTGACCTAAAATAGGCATTGTTTTGTCATGATATATGGAATTGGTGTTATGGATGCCAAAAATGTTGGTTTCATATCCTTCTTTGCCTAGGTTTTTTGTAGGTTAATTATTTGATGGATTACCTCAATGAAGCTTTTCTTGTGTCGAAGTTTTATTTTAAGAAAGTTTGAATAGTTGGGTTTACCTTGATTGTGATAAGTTTGAGATGGCTCTTGTGATAGCAAGCTAAAAGAATGTTCTCTCGTTGGGAATATAAAAAAGGATGGGTATGAAATTTGGTCACTTTCCTTTACATACACTTTTGGCCACTTGCTATGCCTCGTCGAATTTAAAGAGCCTTCGTGGACTTCATGATCCATTCGAGTTTGCAAGTCAATTTGACATAAGGGCTACATGCTTTATGTTGGGTGGTTTTCTTTGAGCAAAACATGAAATTTATATTAGAAAGCCTTAATATTTTCTTATAGTAGAATTAGTTTTCTATCAAAATATTCGTTCTCTTATCATTATTTAGCTTTAAAGTTGGTTGGGAAGCCATCATGAGTCTCTTAGTTTCACAACTTATATCATGGGAAGCATGCTTAGTTGCAAGGTTGATGGATGGCGAGATAGCTCTATGCTTATTTGAAGCATGTTTCTTCATCACTTGTTGGATATTTATGTGAAAGACATGATTGGCAAGTATCACTTCTTTGTGAAAATTCCTACAGCTTTTTATAGATCTCTTCTTTTACTTTTCTTTTTTATGGGAAATGAGTGCAGATTTCGAGCGCTTTCTCACTGTTTTTTGTACAATAATACCTATGGCACTCAAATGAATCTTTTATGGCTATTCCATGGAAGTTTCTACAACCTTTTATAAAACTTTTTCCACTGTTTTTGGCAAGGAGTAAGTGCAGATTTTGCTTGTTTTGGGGTTCCAAACTGCTGTTAGAAACTATTAAGTGCAGATTTTGCTTGTTTTGAGTTTCCAAATTGCTGTTGGAAACAAGTATATTCAGTTTTTCATTGGTTTTGAGATGCCGAACTGTTTTGGTAGCATGTCTTATGTAGCTTTCCTTATTGTTTTGAGTTCCAAATTGTTTGAGGGCGAATTACATGTAGATTTCTCGCTGTTTTGTGCTTTGTTATTTAAAAAAAAAATGAGATATTGACATCCTTAGCACCATTAGCAAGTGATAGAACAATAGTAACTACTCATCCCCCTTTTGCAAAGTAATGTTTATAGAGGTGTTAGAAGCTTTCATGAGTTATAAAATTGAGTTGTTGTTCTTGTAGATTCATATTCTATCTTTGTTTTATGGCAATTTTATTCATTAAAATGGTCATTTGAGTATGAGGTGGTTAGTTTATATTGAAGGTTTCATAACCTTGTTTTGGGAAGTTATGCGGCATATTTAAGAGCATTTACATGCCTTTTCTCTTAAGGTTGGACATTCTTAGTTATCATATGACATGTCTTTGAGAGTGTTTATGAATGATTTTATGGTCGAAAGCTTTCTTTATAAGTCGATTTGTGTATAGTAGCTTTAGATTTGTTTTTTTTTAAAAGGGTTTTTATACGACGAATTTTGTGAAGGCTTTATAACGAGAGGTTGTATACAACTTTCTTGTTAGAAAGCTTTATGAATTTCATACCCCACTCCAAATGAAGGAAAAGGCACTTGATTGTGGGTCTTTTTGTAGGATTTTGGGGCTAACGAAAAGAAGAGATTTTGGTAGATCATTTGTGTAGGATTTTGTGTGGCATTCAATCTAGAGATTTTCATAGAGTATTTTGAGACTTATAATTTGGTGATTTGCTTGGTGTAGAAAAGTCCTTTAGTAGTTTTCTCTTTAGAATAAGCTAATGCTTAGTACATGGATTGCTTCCTTATTGAATCACATTAGTTTTCTAAAAGACGAGATTTAGGATTTGGAGCTTTAGGAGCTTGGTGTTAGAGGGCCTTTTAGTGTCTTTTTGGAGCAAGATAGTCCTTGCTCACTTGTTTTTTTTCTTCTTTTAGTGTTAGCTTCTAAAGTTAAAAATTTGGGATTTCGGATAAATATAAAACAAAAGATAATCTTGTTTTAAGTTTAATGTTAGGAATTTGTTTCCTTTAGTTATTTTGGGCTTTGTTTAAAGGGTAGTTAGATTATTTGAGTTGAGTCTTATATCAAGTGTCTTATTTGGATTGTGGGAACAATAAAGGGCATTGAATGTTGCTTTAGGATACACTTGACTTTAAAGAAGTGTGTCCAAAACAACAATGCCTACATCTCTTTTATATACGATTTTCATTCTTTTTCTTTTTATTGCATCTAGTTGCCTTTTGCTTTATCTTTTGCTTTATTTATCGTTTCTTTCGTGCTTTAATACTAAACACTTGCAAAATGAGGAGAGCCCAAAACACAAGTAGTCCAATCGGTGTACAAAAGGTACGTTCTAGTTTTTTTTTATTGCATTTCCATTTCTTTATATTATTATTTGCTTATAGAACATGCTTTGATCCCTCTTTCTTCTATGACATGCGAGGTACCTTTTGGAAAGCAATGGACAAGGAGCGTGGGAGCATTTGGAGAAGGAGCTAGGACAATTGGATCTGAGCATCAGTCGCCCCAATTCATTCCGGTAGGGGCGCTACGGGCAGAACCACCGGGTCGTAGGCCCCGGTGCTGTAAGCTTTCTTAAGAAACTTAGAATATCTTTAGGGGCCTAGATGTTTGTACGCCTCCCACCCTTAGGGCCTTATAGAAACTTCAATTATATTTTGAACTACTTTTACCTTTCTTTCTAGATCCCTAAAACACTGTGACATATGTATAGAAGTCTTAGGAATTAGAAAACAACACCACTTTTGATCCTACAACACTAGTAACATCTAAGGACAAAAACTAAGGACTGAGTCATAGAAAATATAGACTTAGGTTGCATGTTCCCTGTAGGATAGAAACATTAAAACAAACAAAAATCTAGTGACACGCTTTCATAAATTTAGATTTTTATTTTCTTAATTCACTAATAATCAACCAATCAATCTTAATCTAATTCCTAAAATATGTTAAAACACCCAATTCTTAATTAAACTTTTTTTAACATTATATTACCATTAAACTTTAAAATCTAAAATACAAATCTAAACCAATTCCAACTAATTTAATAATTAACTCCTAACCAACCAAAAATTTTAAAAAAGTAGACTTAATTAGGAGATCAAATTATAAACCAAAAATTCATTAGGATGAAAATACTTCTAAATATCAAATCCTAGAATAATCTTTAAAATAAATCAACAAATCTCCTTTTAATAAAATACATAATCTATCTTTTCCTTTTCTTTTCATAACAAATTAAAATAACCTAACAAAGTTAATTATCACTGGGTAACCCAGGCCTACGAGGCTATTAAATTAGCCCCAAGGAGGGTGAAATAAACCTCACGGCTTCGGTGTGAAACAAAGGTGATAATTAATCAAATACTAAAAATAAAATATTTAAAATTAATCTTAAAATACTAAGATTTGAATTTTAACCAAAATTCCCTTTTGCCCCTCTTAACAAACAAGAATGCAAAAATAATTTTAATTAAACTATCCAATATAGGACCTACCAAAACCACACAGCTTACACACACTTAGATGAGTTTGCTAGGACACGACTATTAGCTTTAGGTTAGGTTGTTGTTCTGCTTTTCTTTTATGTGCTGTGCTGTGACGCTTTGCATGTGACTTGAGTGCTGGTTGTTTTTGCTACCTGTTGTAGCTTTTCTGTGATACTTTTTTGTGACACTTTTTCTGCTCTTTTCTTTTCTGCACTGTTATTGTGATCGTTAGAATACCCATAGGTTAGGCACGCTTTTTCATACTAATGCTGTCTTCCTATAGGTGGCCGTGCTTACACACCGCTAAAAAGGGGGATAAAATTAATAATGTCATTTATAATTACTTTAGGTACCTGCTTCAGCTGCTTAGCCCCCAATAATTAGAGCACGGCCAAGTGATTGATTTAAGCACTTTTCATTTACATATATAACTGCGTGGATGATTTTTGTTTTATTATAACTGTTTAGGATAACCCCTGCAGGGGAGTCTAGATTTTCTTTTTTTCCAGTGATGTAATGTATTTGGTAAATGTTGTGAAAATCATTAAAATAAGGCATTTTAGAGATGTAGGAG